AATGTGAGAATATGTTTTGCCTTCCAATCATGTGACCACAATTTCCAATAATTATCATTCCATTATGCTTTCGGTTTGGGTATGGGAACACATTCAAATTTGATCACTGTAATTTCATTAGGACCATTTTTGATAGCGTCCTGTATACCCTTTCCAACCGAGTTTACATGAATACACATACAAGCTTTCCAATAGCCATCATTTTCACTGGTAAACATTGGTGTTCTATTGTACGCTCCCTTAGGTTCGGCAACCATTCTTATAATAAGAAAATCTTAAGCACGAAATAAACTGGAGCTCTTAATACCAATTGTTAGAAGATATGTTCCAATATGAAGGGGGTGAATAGATCACAAATAAAAACTTTCGGAAAAAATAAATCTGAAAAGTTTTATGACATAACGAAAACAACCTGAATTGAAATGTCTAACCGAACCTCTACCAAAAAGCTCAGATATGTATAATGCTACACAAACATATGATAATGAACACAAATTTTTTAATAGTTATTAATCACAAACAATTGAATGCTAATCTACACGTAGAGCTTATTCCCAATGATTAAAACACACAAAAGCACAATATAACAATTTATTGAACATTTTGTGTGCAATCGATATCATTTGGAAATTGGATTCGTTTTATTGATCTTAAAAGCCAAACACAAATAAAAGGGATTATGATTATATCAACAAAACCTAATTGCAAATGTGATAAAAAATAATTCCTAAACGAATTGATCAAACTAACAATTAATTCAATAATTTTCAAACACAAAATTAAGAGAGAGGGAGAGAGAGAGAGAGAGAGAGAGAGAGAGAGAGAGAGAGAGAGAGAGAGAGAGAGAGAGAGAGAGAGAGAGAGAGAGAGAGAGAGAGAGAGAAGAGAGAGAGAAAGAATTTGTTTAGGCAGTTCCCTAATCAGCCTCACTATGGGTACGTCTTCCCTCAATTTGAATTCAAATTTAGATATTATAATATATCTTACTTTGCTAATGTGTGTATACGAGAGATGAAAAACTCTAACCCTACAAACCCTAGGTTTGTTGTTGGTTCTACCACCTCTAAAACCCTTGATCAAAGATTGATCAAGTAACCAACAATTCCCCTTCAATTCACCTTTTCTTGCTACTTATTTGCAAGGTACCCTTTGTCCTAAGGCTTTCTGTTTTTCTCTCTTGCATGACTTTACTTTAGTTAGTTAAAGTGTTCGTTACTTGTTTGTTAAGTTTGTTAACTAGCATCTCTTCATGTATTCGATATAAAAGGTTGATTCATTGTATTCATCATGCAACCTTTATCATGCTTCCTTTAATGAGAATGGGTACCTTAGCTTGCAACTTATCATATTAACATGATTGTTTTGAAATAATGGGAACAAAAATATGCCGTCTGTCGCTGTAAATATGATATACATATTGAAACTTTCACTCTAGCTTTGTTTTTCACCGTGCACTTAAAATCTCCCATCATGGTTTTATGGGAGATATGGATGTTTGTAGGGACTCTTTTTGGTTATAGAACTCTCAACTTCCCTCTTCTATTCCTGGTTTGGAGTTGCATTGTGAATTGTAAGAGCTTCTTCAATTACTGTTTCAAGTGGTCCATGTGCTCAACCAGAAGGACAATCTGTCTTGGATCTTAGAGGATGATGACATTTTTTCTGTCTACTCTTGCTACAATTTGTTAATACATGTTGGATCGTATACAACTTTAAATAGTGGAATGACAATGGCGTTGAAGATTTTGTGGAAATGGAATATGCCTTCCAAAGTGCAGGTGTTTTTGTGGAGACTTTTTTGGGAGAGATTGGCAACGAGAGAATAATTGGCTAAGAGAGTCATCAACAATGGCAGTTCAAGTTTTTTTTGCACAGGATGTGGTGACTCAGTCGAATCCTCTTTCCATCTTTTTATGGTGTGTTTGTTCGCAACTAGAACTTAGAGAGGTGTGGAGAATTGGCTAGGCATAGAAGTCGAGAGGAGTCTAAATTGCACAGCCTCTTTTGTCTGTTTTGACTGAAGTTTGAAGGAGGCTGGTAATGATCGTGGTTACATTATTTGGGCATTTACAGTTTGGAGCATTTGGAGGAGTAGGAACAATTTTATTTTTAGAGATGTTCCTTATAATGTTGTAAATGATATAAACTCCATTAAGTTTTTATCTTGGAGGTGGTTCAGTTCTAACTGTTTTTTTGGCTCAATCTTGTTCTTTTTATGAGTGGTTTGCGTCTCTGGTTTTTTGTATCGATCAGAAGTAATTTGATAAAGATTTTGAGTACTCCTTATATTCTTTTGTGTTAATTTCATTGTTTATTAAAAAATAATCTCCCATCATCTTTTAAAAAGAGTGGTAGCTAAATAGACGTGGAAAGACCAAACTAATATTAATTAATGGTGATAGAATTAAATTACAATATCCTACCATGGCCTATTGCTACACATACAATTAAAGAATTAACTTAATTTTGCTAGTGATTTTCACACAAGTTCATACAATGATATAAGTAAACAAGAATATGAGGATATAGATGTCTGGATGTAAGATGTTAAGTCATTAGAACATAAACAAAGTTTTACTTTTTTTGGTTCAATTGGAAATTATGGATTCATTGCATCAAAATGCTTTTAAGCTTTCCCATTAGAGCGTATGATGTAAAACACTTGAAGTCGATCTATTGTGACGATGCCATACAATTTCACTGATTCATACATTATTTTCAACCTATGATTGATTGACATGATGAACATGTGGTTCTATATGATATGTAAGTAATATTTTCTAAAGTTTTTGACAATGACATTTTAATAATAAATTATAAAGTATAAAACATTATCAATAAAGAAGCAAGCTCAAAATTAAATGTTTAAGTTATAGATAAAAGAGAAAACTAAATTCGAATCAAACGAATTAACTTGTTGAATCAAAAGGAAGTTAAGTTAAATTTCGGTTAAAAGAGCTAATCAAAGTTAAATCTAGTTGAAAAGAACTGAAATTGTGAAATTGTGAAAACTCGTGTAATATCATGCTTATTATTTTATCTTGTAGTTTGATAAATTTATTATAAATGAAGTAAGAGTAAGTATTGCAATACTAAGCGATGCAAACAAAAACATTACAAACTTATCATCTTTTTGCTATATCTTCTTAAAACCAATCCATATAAGTACTTAATTAATTAACAAGTTATCTAATCGATGAAGAAAAATTTGATTGTCTAATCGATTAAGAGCTTCATCTAATTGATTAAAACAAGAGTATCGTCTCCTAATTGATCAGGTAAGCTTGTTTATCAATTAAATGACGTCGAAAATTAGAGTTTTTTAATTTAGCGTAACTTAATTGATTAGACAGTTATTCTAATCAATTAGGAGACTCCAAAGCCCATGGTTTGTTGTCGTTTTGAGCATGATTTTTTCTTATATAAAAGAGATTCTTTCACACTTCTCAATATTGAGTGTAACAAGTGTAAGTAGTATGAGTAATAGTCTCATATTGGTTAGAAATACGAAGACTTGAACATTTATAAGTGGGAGAACACATACACCTATCACCTTAAGGTTTTGAGTGAATATGTGGTGTGTCTCTCACAATAGTGTTGCTCTTAAAGAAAATCCCACAATGTTCAATGCTTCCTAGGAAAAAATCTCTCCCAACACTAAATACATCCATTTTTTGAATAAAACTACTCTCTTGTCCTGATCCTTCTATTTCTTTTATAAGTTTTTATACTAGAGGTTGTCTTAGTGTTGAGAGAGTGACAAGTTTAATTCGAGAATTGTGTTATATTGATGTTGTATTGAAATTGATTAGTTTAGTTCTTTTATGATCTTTTGTAATAGATTTGACGACTGCAAGCTAGACATGTTAAAAATTCCTGTTCAAAAGCACAAGTTGTTTAAGTTGGTTTTAGTAGAGTCTTAAGAATTTTTTTTTTTGAAGAGTAGAGCATGTTGCATGGTTTAAGACCAAACCATGATAATCTCTGATATGATATTTTTTACCTTATTTTTTTATAATTTTGTCTTTTATTTCTCCCTTGTTATTTATCTATTCTGCGGCTTATTCTTTTCTTACTTCTAACATAAACCGTTTTAAATTATTTGTTTTTGTGAAAAAAAATTTAAAATTTATTTATCACAATTTATTACCAACTCTTATGTTTGAAGTGGCTTGTTTAAAACAACATTCATTTAGTTGAAACATCTTTGTAGCTAGTTACTTATCCCAATCTTATTTATGACAAAACCTACATCCTTGATATGCACTCTTGTCTTTATAAACAACATGCACCCTTTAACACAACAATTAATTTTCTCAAACTTCAATGCTAGCAACCAATGTTATCGCCATCATAGGAAAAAACATTAGCAATAAATCCTTTGTAAGACACATGCCTACATATATGAGTACAGAGAAATCAAGACATTTTTCAGGAACATTCTAAAAATATATTTTGTAAACCAAAGTTTCGCACATATTCAAAGTTTTGATTCCAAAACCCTCTTATGTAAGGGTTGATTTGCTGCAGTTAACAAATCATAAAAATCTTGAACATTATCTTTTGGGAGCTCTTCATAAATATCCTTCCTCGTTTCTCTCATCAACCATACTTTTTGAAATACATCTTCCATCATATGTTGCATTCATCATTCATATCTCTAATATTACTCAATTAGTTTTTTTTTTTTTTGGATAGATAAATGAAACTTCTTCCCCGTGATCAATCCAATACCAATAATTTAGTTGAAACCATATAACCTTAACAAGTGAACATTGACACATTAGGGACATTCTTGCTTCATTCATATTAAGTAAAAAAAAAACATCCATTAAACAAGCAGTAAGCAGTGACAAACTGCCCTAACATAAAGAAAAGAAAAAGAGTCAATTGTCCTTATACAAGTCATGTAAAGTACTTAGGACAATGTTTACAAGACATACTTATAATTAAAATTGATCAAGTTTTTCTACTAACATATATTATGAACAATATATCTCTCATTTGTTCATATTCATTAGTGCAGCCCTTGACATCAAACGCTTCTCCGACACCTGAAAATTTTATATAATATTCAAATTAATAACATATATAAGATCAATTTTCAAAAAATAAAAAATCAAGAATATTACATTTTCCATCTTAGCTTGATTGTTGCTCTCCAACATGAGCCCAAAATGAATATGAGGAAAATGTGCCCACTATATAAAAAAGAAATAATTACCAGATATTATTAATATATAATAATTAACTAAAGCAATGAATTAGTTGAATTAGTTGCATACATTTTTTGCAGCTGTACTGAAAGCTTCTCTGTGACTAATATCAGGATTATTAGCCTTAATCCTCTGAATCTCTTCCCTATAAATATTTATATGTAAATTAATAAAGATGCTTCAAATTAAATCTTGTTTATAAATTAAGTTTAAGAGTATTTACTTTATGAACTGATTATAAGCAGAAGGTACACGCTGCCTCTTCTCGGGAGCTGGAAAAAGAAAATAACAACTCATAAGATTGATCATTAATTAACACAACTGTATATATACATACACATATAGATATATTTATTTATTTAAATGTACCATTAAGGACAATTATTTAATTTTTCAAGAATAATAAATATGATGAGTTTGAAGTGTAAACTCACGGCGGTTAACAACTCTTTCTTGAGTAACATGAGCGGTTGGTGCGGTGCGCATCGCGATCCTATCGTTGCATTTGGAAGTGTTGCCGGTGGTTCGAATCCTGTACTCTGGATTCATGCAGTGGTTAGGTGCCTGCATATGAAAATGAATGAGATATTGATAACAGTTAATTTTTTGTTCGGTTAGAATACTAGTATGAAAATCAATGCTTTGTTCAGAGAGAAAGAGAGAGATGAAAATGAAAGGAGCAGCTTTAAAATCACTGAGCATAATATGACAAGAATGCAACGAGTAATAATCTGAATCAAGACGAAAATGAAGGGCTTAGATTGAAGAAAGAGGATATGTTGAAAAGAAATCATTAAACCTAGAAATATGAACTTAGTTATAAATCAAATCAAATCAATCAAAAACCTGAAGGTAATACCCAAAAGTATTTATTGGTAAAACATTTTCTGACGAGTCTATGAAAAGTGGGAAAAGAAAAAGGAAATAGGTTTTTGTTTATGGCGGCTAAGTTGCAGGTCTACCTAGGGTTTTGCTCATCAGGTGGAAATGAAATGACAGACAGACATGCTTTCAATTCAGAAACCTAACTAGCTTCCCAAACCCAAACCAAGATGCTTCGATTATCTCAAAAAAGGAATAACTTTCCAGAAACCCTAGCTACTATAGGATCCAGAAATCAAAGTACCCTAACTAGGTACTAGCTCTATTTTTTTTTACTTTTGATTTTTTTGTCTTAAAAACTCACAAACACATTTGCGGGTTGACGTCTAACTTAACGATATCGGTTTCTTCTGCAATTGAGTTAGGATTTGTGAATGATTTTGTTTTTTTTTTCTTCAAAACTAACAAACACATTTATTAGTATTAGGGTTCAAAATTTAGTAATGGCATTTGACCGAATCGATTTGTTCTGCAAGTTGAAATAGGATTTGTGACAGTTTTGTTTTTATAAATATGTTTTTAATTAGTATTAGATCATGTAATGTGATTCACCTGAATATCTTGCCATGAAAGTGACTGAAACGCTGCAGCCATGTTCACAGACCATAGATTTGTGCAGTGACCACATCTAACGGTCACTATGTCAAACAAGCTACTGCATGGAACACTCACCTGCATCAAATCAACCATTAATTCATTAGATCATTAATTATATTTTCCTTTTTCTTACTTGTTACATGCATACTCTATATACTACTTTAAGCAACTACACAAATAGTCAATTTTAAGCCAAAAAAAAAATCACATATTCTTCTTATAACCTGATCTAGAAAAGAACCATCAAAGTTTTTTTTTACTTAATTGTTAGAAACCATGGAACTTAATTGAGGAATTAAGCAAGAGTTATATGTGTAAATTAGATTAAGAAAAGAGTTGGAGAAGATTTAGGTCAAAAAAGGAAAGAGGTGTGAAATAAAGGGTAGAGAAGAGAAGAAGAGTTGTCATATCAATTATCATTTATCAACAGGGTTTTTATCATTTAGTGTTTTGTTTCGGTGTTATGGAGAGGACATCTCCATGTATTATTATCAAAACTGGCTAGAATAGTGGCAAGTACAATCAGGCACACCTTCACTTTGCCCTTTCTTTCTTCCATGCCTTGTTAAGCTAAGACAGAGAAAGAGAATACATACATGTGATGTGAGTGTGTGTCTGTGTCTCTGTGTGACCTTGTTAACAACTTTGAGGTTATGACTTTTTCTATGACTGCAAAAGAAAGAAAAAAAAAAGAAAAAGAAAAAAAGTTCAGGAGATTGAGACTTGACTGTAAGAAGAAGAAAAAAAAAAACTAACAAGCCCAGAAAGTGAGAATTCAAATATGTATCAAAAGTGCAAACACATAACACAAAACACAAAAGAATAGAGCATAACATGCTTTCCTTTTCAGGATCTGAATGAATTCCTTCAACACAGTCAAGTATGTGCAGAAATGAATTAACTTGTTGATTAGTTGATAAGAAAATATGTAACATGCAAAACTGAAAAAGCAGATCCAAGATATGTATATATATGTATACCGCAAGAACAATATTGCAAAAGTTGCAAGGGATGTAGCAGAGTTGTTCTGCAGGTGCAACATCGATACTGCAGCTTGACATGTCTCTAGGAGTAAGATTGTTTTACAAAAACAAATATATGAAAGAGGTTGAAGAAAGGAGAAGGAAAACAAGAAGAAGAAGATAGATAAGATAATTAAGTAAATATCTTGCAAGAGAAACCAAAGGCTTATAGTATTCTTTCTCTCTCTCTTTCTTTTTTTCCAAACCTCTACTTGGTTTGTGTATATTTATAAGCTAGTGGGATATGAGAAGAGTAAATAAAAGGTAAGGGAAGGGTGTATATATAGAAAATTATTAGGGTAGAAAGAGCTTGATGAATGAGTTGGTTTGGAATCCAAAGGAACAGTTGTATTAGAAAGAGGAAGAGAGAATTAATAGGGTAAGGTAGGGTGTGATATGAAGAAAAAAAAAAGTGTCCACGGCAGTAGGGGAATGCTGGGACCGGAATAGTAATTAAAGTGGTTTTTTTAGTTTTTATTGGAAACACCACATATTAGTGGACAATAATTCTTCTGCATTATAATATATTATTTACGCACAATTATAGAGAGTGATATCTCGAATTAAATATAATTATAATAGATGATAAAACTCTTGAATTAAATATAATTATAATAGATGATAAAACTCTTGAATTAAATAAAAGAATTATAATAGATGATAAAACTCTTGTTAAAAGTTAAGCAATTGATGTATTCTTAAGATCATTATCATCTCATCCAAATAATCAACTGATTTTATAGTTGACATTACTTTTTTTACACAATAAATAGACGATTAGTTTAAAATTTATTTTATCTATAAAAAGTATTATAGAGATTATTTTTTCTTCGATTAATTATGATTTTAATAAATATATTATTGGTATATGTCAAAATAGATTTGTTCTACAAATTTAAGTTTAACTAAAGCTAACAAAAGATTTTGGTGTTAGATAATATTCTTGGTTCATGTTTGTGTTTTTTCGAAGTAACCTTTTCACTTTTGGTAAATGGATTTCTCTTTGAAGAGGTTAAAATTTAAATCGGTTTATAGATTATTTTATTTTCTATTGATTGTTGAGGGTTTAAATCGGTTAACTGTGAGATATGATTTCAAATTATTTTAGGAGTTTCAAGGATAATTAATGATTGGATGGTGGAATCATTGTAAATGATTTTTTTTTATATGACTGAGAGTTTCATGGATTGTAAGGTTGTGTAAGTGTTTTTTAGGTATCTTAGCCATCTTACGACAAATCAAAGTAAGTTGGGTATGTGGAATCCCATGTTAAAAATTATTAGAGGCTTGCCTTTTGGAGTAACAGGTTAATCAAGTTTGGAGCTATGATGATGCTTTTAAACTCGATCCTTAATATTATTCATATTTATACCTTTCTTTTTGAAGTTGTCGACAAAGGTTGAGAAAGTGATAACCTAACTTCAAAAGAGTTTGTTTGGAGGGCTTGAGAGGGGATTGATTTTCTTTAGTAAGAGGGTGTGATGTGAGTAGACCGAAGAAGAAAGATGGTCTACAAAGTAAAATCCTATGACTAATTAATGTCACTTTTATTGGTAAATGGTGATGAAAGGCACTGACTCGAGATCCCTCTTTGTGAGGAGACAATCTGTTTAAAGGTATGGAATTTAGATTGTGGGGGAAATATGTATCCTTGTGGGATACAAAAGTTTGGTATACTTCATATTGGTTCTTGGTTGGGTTGCGAATGTGATTGGAAATGGGTGTAAAACCTTGTTTTGACAGTACATCTATGTAAGAAATTTAGCCTTGAGAAATTCATTTCACGGTTTATTTATAATTTTATACCAACATAATTTATTTTCTGGTAGTCTTGGTCATTGGGATATGGATAAGTGGGTTTGGGAGCTTACTTATAAGAGAACAATTTTTTGTTTGGTAACATCACTTAATGGGGGATTTTGTGGGTGTTTTAAGGATGCAAACTTTGAGTCAAATGAAGGATAATTGGTTTTGGATGCATGATATTGGCAGGAGCTTCACTATCTAATCTAGCTGTTATCTTTCTAGTAAGGAGGAGTAAAATTCATACCATTGCAAGATTATCTTCCCTACAGATAGAGATGTCACACCGAGGAGGATATACATATCCTTGCTAATGCTTGGAGGAGTTCTAACTATACTAAGGTTATTGTGTTTTCATGGCAACTTATGTTAGACAAGACGTTACCTATGTAAATCTCCCTTATTGTATCTCAACAATATCCTCTTCAAGTGTGACTTCACTCACTATGCTTCCCCTCAAGTTAAAACTCTTTCATCCACATACATTTTACAGCCGTTAACACTCTTATCACATCATGGACACTTCAACAGAACACACCGCCTAATCACTACCATGTCAGGAATATTTTCGAAATAAGAAGTCAATCCCTTGTCATATTGTCTAGTTTCTACCAAAAACTTTTGTTATCATTTTAACAAAATCCTACTCCAAGATGGGAATAAAAAAACTCCATTTTCATCTAATGTAGTGTTAAATGTGTTAAAAAAGAGATGCATGTGTTTGCAATTTATTTGATAATGTATAATGTTGAGAATAACAAGTATGAGTAATGTGGAAAAGTCTCACATTGATTATAAAGTATGGAGACTTGAGCATTTATAAATGGGAGAACCCACACACCTATCACCTTAAGGTTTTGGTTGAGTATATGGTGCGTCTCTCACAAAGGTGTTTTTCTCTTAAAGAAAAACTCCAAAGTAAAAAAAAAATATTCCCTCGTGTTGACCCCCTGAATTGATCCCAACAATGGTATCATGAGCCTTTGGTCCGAGTGAAGGGACATAGTCACTTGTATCAAAAGTATCCGCACATGGTCATGGGTAGAGCCTCCAGTTGAAGAGTGTCAATAGGCGGTACAAGTGTATGTGATAAAAAAAAAAGCTTTCGCTTGAGGGGGAGCATTGCGAATAGACTCATTCTTGAGGAGGAGTGTTGAGAATAACAAGTATAAATAGTGTGGGGAAGTTCCATATTAATTAGAAATATGGACACTTTAGCATTTATAAGTGGGAGAATCCACACACCTATCACTTTAAAGTTTTTGGTGAGTATGTGGTGTCTCTCTCATAAAGGCGTCTTGCTTTTAAAAAACAGCCCCAAAGTAAAAAATATTCCCCCCCGAATTGATCTCAACATATATTGAGAAAATCTAAAGTCTTACGTTAGTTAGATATATAGTTTGAAAAAGATTTATATAAATTTGCACCCATCATCTTACAAAGTCGGTTTAGTAAAATTGAATTATGTTAAACTCTAACTCTAATATAATAATAGAGCCTATTGATCAAACCATTAGTCATTTACCGTTTATATCCACGTATCAAATTCAATAGTATTAGGAGTAAAGACGTGTATTCAAAAAAAAAATATCTTAAATCTCATGTTGATTAGATACGAAACTTAAAAATAATATTTATATGATATCTTTTTACATTTAAGGTCAAAACTTAAAATATATTGTTAAGATAACCTACATGAATGATATAATCACTTTTGCTTTAAATTTGGTACAATTATGTGTGTTGTAAAGCTTCTTTACCTACTTTGGCACACTCCATAGTATTAATATAGAATATTATAATAGATTATCACATTTAATTATTAACACTTAATTTTTATATTTTTATTTATTGTATCCTCTAAATAATATTGTTAACATTTCTTAAATAATATCGTTTTCTTCTGAATTGGTTAATTATAGCAGAAATCACTACTATAAAATAGATCTTTCATAACAACCGTTTTACAATGGCCTTTCTGTTAACCGTGATAATAAATATTTTTTTGGGTGTTTTTTTTTTATATTTACTAAAAGACATTTTACTACGGTCATAGTTAACAACCGTAGTAAAATGTACCTGAAGCGAAAGAGCTTGAATCTCAACACCAACAATTTTTCATTTATCGTAACATAATGGGATTGACATTGTATATCACCATGATTATTATAAACAATTGTGGTGTAAGGTACAATCATTTCATCACAGTTCATATTATCAACTATGGTCAAAGGTGTTACTTATTTATATATAAGAAAAATTATCTCTCGCTTTAGTACATAATAGATGTCTATCTCAAAACAAAACTCTAACATCTCTTTCACTCGTCTCTCTAAAAAAAACTCTAACATCTATGTCACTCGTATCTCTCATATGGGAATCTCAAACTTATGCAGCAAACTCTTCTTTTTCTAAGGATTGCCTTTGTTGCATCAAACCTTAGCAAATGTGTACCTTACAGGTTCGCCCTTACAATAGTTTGTTTTCAAAATCCATTTATGTATTATTGTTTATTTTTCAATAGCTTGTTTCATATTGTTTGAATTTTCTGCTTGTTTTGACTTATATATGGGGATGCTTGTTTCAATAACTAGGATGAAGTTAAAGTAAGCGCTGCAAACTTGTGTGAAAGATCCAAAATGATACCCATTCAAAATTAACAAAAATTTGTAACTCTCACTTTAGCTTCATCCTTCTTTCGTTGTGGATGTCATTATGGGAGACATGTATGTTTCTAAACATTCTATTAGTTGATATGTTATTGTTGTTGTTATTAATAAAAGTGTTATATTATATACACTTTATGCTATGTGTTGATGATTTTGTTGTTTTTAATAAGAATTGTTTGTTTTATCTTGTATGTTTTTAAAGTTTGTTGTTGATGAATGCTGTTGTTAATGTGTGTTTAAAAGATAAGTTTATTATAAGAAAAACGACTTTTTTGGTCCCTTAACTTTACCTCGGTGTCCATTTTGGTCCCTCAATTTTAAAAAGTTCCAAATTGATCCTTTAATTGATCAAATAGTGCTATTTAAGTCATTTCCGTCCAATTTTTTCATAAATGGCGTATATTTTTAGAGTAGTGGCATCTGACTAGTGGCATCTGACATGACACCTATACACACACATGGCATCTATTCATCAATAAAAGAAATAAAAATTTCAAAATTTTGGCTTGAGCTAAGTTTTGAACCAAGGACCAGTTGTATGCTATGCAACATAGATTACCATTAGAC